GAAAGGAATTGCCTGCACTATCCACGGCACATCAAATTGTATACTAAGCTGAACGTTCAGATGTCACTCGGATAGACTTCGTTTTTATCAAGACAATCAGTGGACACTCTTAAGCACTGTATGACAACAGAAGACTGTTACATATAGACACAAGATTGCAAGATCCAGTACATTGAAACACTGTTTGAAACATACATGTTGTATTAAACATTTGACATTTGTGTTCACAAGCAGACAGTGAATGTCATTGATTTACTATCAAACTGTGATGGACATTGAGTTACTTGCTTAAATTCAGTATAGCTCTAAGGTGTCACCGCCAATGAGAATTGTAATATAGAATAAGACTCAATCTGCATACTCAGGATACTCTGCATTTATATTTCAAATATTTTTGGTATAATTTCAGTGTCATATTAAGGATCTGTGCTATTAGGGGGCTTGACATCTGTACTTGGCTTACCCATGCGCTCTGTGCTTTCCCGTTGCAGTCGCGATTGTTCGTTTACCACACTCCCAGCCCAATAGTGAGCGTATCTGCCTTTTCAAATCAATTGTGAAATTAGTTCATTTTGTCATATTTGATTCAATTTAACCATACAGTTTAATAGTCTCTTTTCAGATATGGCTGATGGGGCCATCACACCAACATATATTAGTCCACATGACAATGAAGTGCCACCAGAGGCACAGATGGGATTGGTTGGAATTCCTGTTGAAAGTCAAACTGAGGAAGAGACAAGTCAACTGCGGAGGTCAGAAAGAACACGGAAACTTATTGAAAAAGCAAAACAGTACAGAAGTCAAGTACTAACTTTACTAAGATAAATTCTGGGAAAATCATTTCGATCTGCTATATGAAGAGTGTAGATTGGGGATGGGGCGTGAAACAGAACACCAATGTGATTACTAAAGAGTGCAGTTAGGAAGCAGAAAGCACACCCATGTGAATGTCTACAAAACCTTATAAACAAGAATTTAATAACAAAAAATAAGAAGATTCTATAACATATCAACACAACCTATCAACACAACCTCTAATAAACTTTGAAAAAACTGTATATGGCAGGTAAGCAAATATTACATTTCAAAAAGATGAAAATACAAATGTATTATTCAAGTGGTATTTGAATTAATGCCAATAAAAATCCAATGTGCAACATTTAGCATGGATTCTGAAATGTCTTACATGAAATTTTTCTATTGAACATGTTTACCACCTCCCAACACTAAATTGTAGATTAAGTTGGACATGTCGAAGACGTATATTGTTTACATATAGAGAATGTTCTATCTACTTTTCATGTGAAGTATAACAATTCACAATAAAACGAATTACAGTTAGAGTTATTGGTACACAATTAACAATAAAAAAAATGATCATACAAAACTATGTAATAAAATTTGGCAATAATTTATGCCAAAAATAAGAAAATAAGAAATTTTTTGTATCAAAAACCTTACAAAATTTGTCAGGAAAGGATAACAAGTCATTGTTAATGACATAATCCCTGTTGGAATTAGAGGAAATGGTATTCATGCCAAAAATATAATAATATGGACGAAAAATTTAGCGTCAATAATTGGCTGGTCTAGTATCAATAGAAATTACTGTAAAATACACCAACAAGCAGCCAGTCGGCTGAGATAGCTCTGCTGTTAGCAATGCATATTTCAATTAAAGAACAGAAGATATCATTAGAAAATGAACAATATGTATAGTATGTATAGCAATCGGACCAAAAATGACATAAATATTCATCAAAATTAGATAATTGAAGATATCATCACCAAATGAACAAATCTGAGAAAGGTCTACATGTAGTACCTATATATGTAATATCAAAGCAATCGGACTTGCAGTTTTTAACAAGAAGTCGAAAATATCACTTTTTACCAAAAATATTCACCAAAATTAGAGAATTTAAGATATCATCACGAAATGAACAAATCTGAGAAAGGTCCACATGTAGTATCTATATATGTAATATTAAAGCAATTGAACTTTGAAGCGGTTTTTAACAAGAAGTCGAAAATATAACTTTTTACCAAAAATTACAAAAATATTCACCAAAATTAGAGAATTGAAGATATCATCATGAAATGAACAAATCTTAGAGAGGTCTACCCAAGGTACATATACACTAAGTATCAAAGCATTCAGGCTTGTAGATTTCAAGAAGAAGTCTAAAAGATAAAACATTGACACGGACGACGACGGACAATCACTCATATGATCAGCTCCGCTCAACAAAGTCGACAGCAGAGCTAAAAAAGTCTTTTCAGCGAAAATTAATTCAGCTAAAATAAAGTATTTTACAGTAGGTGTGTTAAATGACTCTTCCAAATTCGTAACATATGTTCAGAAATGGGATATGCTATTCATGCATTTTTTGTATTCAAACTGAATTTCATATGTCCAGGCTCATGTACAGATATACAAAACGATCACAACATGTATAATGTTTGTATCAAATTTGAATGAAAATCAACAAATCATTTTCAAGATACCACTGTTTCAAAAAAACTAGATGAATGCGACAATCTTTGATCTGATTATGGAACAAACTGACCTGAACATGTATTCCAATATGTATAATCTGTGTGCAAAGTATGATTGAAAATAGTCCCGAAGCCTTGGAGATATAGTATGGTCAAAGAGAAAGGTAGCTGCCAATCAGACATTTTTGATCTGATTGTAAAACCAAATTGTCAGAGACATGTAATCTAAACATACAATGTATGTATAAAATTTGAACAAACTGACAAAGCATGCATAAGACACCCCATTTTTGAAAAACAAAGCATGCTTAATATACAACATTTGCAAAAAAAATACAAAATGGCTGTCAGTCGGCCATCTTTGAATGAATCAGTAAACCACTGTATGTGCACATGTCCCAGATGAAGTACTAGGCACATGCAAAAAATGAACAAGTTTGGTCCTTCGTTCAAACAAGGACTAATTAGAATTGTGTGAGTTATTGAAAGTACAAATAAATAGTTTTTTGACAAGAATGATGCAACATCTTCTTTCTCATAAATCTAACAAAAAAGCTTTAAACATAATGATCAATAGCGATAGAAGAAGTTGACGATTATTTGAGAAAGACCTGGTTAAGTCTTAAATGGTATATTGTACTTTTGGCTCGATTCTCCTTTAAACATATTCAACACTACTCAAAGTTATCAAAATTACTTCTTTGAATTTTCATGTATGGTATCACAAAGTAGCCCTTGATATAATGTATACATAGTTTCAACATAATGTAGTCCTTGACATAAGCTACAATGTTTTAAGTTACAAGAAGTCTTTGGCATAAGATATAGTTCACTACACCACATGGTTTTCAGTATAATCCACAATGTATATGTCCACTGAAATTCTGCTTCACATGAAAGCTTGATACATTATCACATTGGCTTGGAGGAAAAAGTGTTTACAGAAGAAAATTGTGGAGACAGTTGTTGATACAATTCTCTTTGATTAGGTATAGGTTGTTGTTGTTGTTGTTGTTGTTGAAAAGGTGCATGTATTTGTACAGGAGCAAATGTGCTTTGCCCCTGGCTCCCCTTGTCTTTGTGGATTGTTGATCTTAGTTGTTGCTGCCAAGCTCCCGATTCTTGCTCTTTTTGACAACAAACACTGAGCAGATGATCTTCCTTGGATTGTTGGTTTGTCTTTACTGATTGTTTCAGACACTGTCCAGGCTGACAATTCCTTTGAGTCTGCCGCCTTTCAATTAGCAACCTCTTCAAAGCTTCAGCTTTGTTCCACTGTTCTAAGGGCTCTGACTGTCTTGGTGTTAGTTGAGTCACACCATCATGTTGAGTTATGGACTGCTGTTGGTTCTGCTGGTTTATTAGTGGGTCATATGTTGCAGGTTGCATTTGTTGCTCCAACTGACATACTGACCTTGGTTCTTGCAACAATGGTGTCACTGATACTTGTTGTTCATACTGATTTGTTGGTATTCGATTTACATTGTACGCATTACTCGGTGAACCAACTTGTTGCGATTGCCAAACTGGCATTTGTTGTTGATTTGATGCCATTTGATGTTGCAGCTGATTTACTTGCATTTGTTGTTGCTCCACATGTTGGTTGAATGGCACCTGATGGGGATTATGGATTGGTATTTGTTTTTGTACATTGCTTCTTTCTTGTTGTTGTAACTGATTTATTAATTGCTCTTGTTGATTAAATGGCATTTGTTGTTGTATGTGCTGTGTGCTTAATGATACTTGTGGTAGATCTATTGGCACATGCTGTATTAGATTTTCTTTTAATTGTTGTTGCTCAAACTGTAACTGTCTCTGTGTTAGTTGCTGTACCGCACCTGCATTAACTTGTTGATCCGACACGATTGTATGCTGTGGCTGTCTTGAAGCCTGTGCTTGGTGTGATGTGTATTGGTTCATCAAAGACAGTTTTACTGATGACTGTACCTCAACATGTGAATCTAGCATAACTGGTTGGTTGTCTCCAATATAGACCATCTGTGCATCAGTGTTATCTTTAGCTGTTTTTACATTGTGTTCATCTAAAGCATTTTTATCCAGAATATCCTGAAGCTGTGATTCCTGTTGAAAAAGTATATCTTTTTGATTCTGCAACTGACTCTCAAGATCTTGCTGCAACTGATTGTGAACATGCAGCTGAGGTTGTGGTTGCATTTCCCCACTTAGGCTAGAATGTTGTTCTCGAAATTGCTGTTGTTGATCTTGGAGTTTTTGTAATAACACTTGCTGATTCTGAATTTGTTCACTATACATTTGAAGCAGTTGTTTACTTTGTTTCAACTGTTGCAATAATGTTTCCACTAAATTGTCATCAATTTGTCGCTGACGTTTCACAAATGTGTCAGCAAGTTGTTCTGGAGACTGTTGGATTGATTGAATTGAGCAACTACTCTGTTGAATCTGCAGCTGAGATTGCTCCCTTGATTGATAATTACTGTTGGGTGAGGGCAATACCAGATTATGTTCAGGGTCATGTTGATCAGACTGCTGTTCATGTTTTGTTTGATGGTTTTCTCGTTTTTGCTGCAGCTCAGCAGTTCCTTGTCGTTGTGGTGCCTCTTCATGCTCTAGCTGAAATGACTGTACATATTTCAGATTCTGCACAACAGGTAATTGTGTATTATACGAGTTGTCTAACTCCACACCCCCTTCAGATGAGCATTTTTTTTTAGGCTTGACAAATCTATGCGATTCATTAATCCAATAATCTGTAGAATTTGTTTCTGTCAATTTATCATTCTGATCATTGTTTGGAGGATGGAGTAAATGAAAAAGATCACTTTTTTCTTCATCATACCCAGCAGAAGGTGAACCGTCTGTATCTAGTTCTCTGTCATTTATAGGGGTAACAAATTCTTCTTCTAATGGCTCTGTTTTTATTTCAGGTAATTTGTTCCCATGAGAAAAAGCTTTGATTTCTTTAGCAGTCAGTTTAGGATAACAAGTTTTATTTGCTTCAGTTTGTATGTGCTCAGAGCATGTCTAAAAATAATATCATTCAAATTAGATGCTGCATGTATTATATCTGAATTAATGTTCTCTGAAGATGAGTTTAACTTAACTGCTTCCTTTGTAGAAGGTGTTGATGCATCTTCAATTGTTTCACCAAGTGCAGATTCTTTTTGTTTCTTGCTTTCCTGTTTGTTCTGTTTGCAAGGTCTTCCTCTTCTTCTTTTTTGAGTTGCAGTTTCAAATTGTCCTGGTGGTAAACTTTCACTATGGGTAATATTTTTTGGTTGAATATCAGTAGCATGGTGTGGTTCATTGCTTTGCTGTAGTGGTTGTTTTCTACATAATTGCTGGAGTCTTTCCTTTTCTTTAATTGCAGATGTTTTCAAAATTGTGGAAGATGTTTCTACTAATGCACTTGTTTCAAATGGTTCTGGTCCTGCACTTGGCTTGTGTGTATTGTGCAGTAAGGAAAGTTCTTTTTTAGGTAACATTGTTGATGTATTTTTAAATGTTTCACTAAATGTAGTAATTAATTGTTCTTTGCAGTTTTGCTGTCCTGGCTGCTCTGTGCTGACTTTTCTAGGTCTTCCTCTTCCCCTTTTTGCAGTTGTTTTCATAGATTTGAGAGAGGTATCCAATGATTTATTCTTATTTATATTGGGTTTCGTAGATGTTGACTCACTACCAACATGTTTTTTTTTACTAATTTGTTCTTGTGGCCACACCTTTTTCTGCTTTACAGTTTTCTTGGTTTTTAAAGGACTTTTGGTGAAATTGCAAGATGTGTCATCAGAGACCTTTGGCAGAAAACGTTGCACCTGGTCAACCCAATAGTCATCCATTGCAACATCCTGTAAC